ATTTTATAGCAGTAACACGTATCTGTGTTTGTTTGTTTGTATACTGCACTGACCTGTACAACTATAATTTTAAGTTTCTTTGCTATCTTACTTTTCTGCATTAGACGAAGCATTACTTTATCTTTGTCTCTACCGAGTACAGTATAGCATACGTCCGTCTACATCGGTGTCGACTGATTACACTGAAAAGAGAATTAGTCTTGTCCTTTATATAGGGGTTCTGCAGGTAAGGAGCAAAAATGGAGGACACATTCCTCTTACGAATCGTATTCAGCTTTAATGTTTGTTGCGCTATAGGCTTATCGTTTGTCATGTTCACCCAACTCCTTACAGAGAACACGCAAATATCTGCTCGCTTTCCTGAATAGGGCTCGATTTCATAGATCTACAGCATAAACACATTTCAATATTTATACATATTCAATTCTTATAATAAATATATTAACACCCTCTTAACTAAATAATATGTAAAAAAAAAGGGGGGGGAGGGGGTGGATAAGCGGGCGTAAAGTGTGTGAAAAGTACAAAGTCTTGAGCTCAAATGAGTATAAAAATCACAGAGCATGTCAGTAAATATAAATGCTCTACATAACCTGTTTCTTTTGCCAAATCATACATAACTTTTTAAAACTATCGTTTTCATTTGACTCTTTTATCTCCAAATAAAGTCAACTGTGATTTTGAAAATGGTACATGTGGATGGACGTGGCAAAGAAGGGCGGTAACCCTCGAGAAAATGATGCCTCTATGTGGACTCTTTCATGATAGATTTTATTGTCAAAGGGATTACATTGTCCAAACTGCAACTACGTGGAAGCGAATAAGGATTTCTTCAGCTGTAGAATATCTTAACTGTAAGTATTGACAATATATATATGTTGTTTTTGGAGACCATGTCTTCCAACAATCTATTGGAATTCCCATAGGAACCAATTGCGCTCCGTTATTAGCAGACGTATTTTCGTATTCATATGAAGCAGAGTTTGTGCAAAATCATATGCATGAAAAGAAGAAAAACTTGCTGTGGCCTTCAAATCGACATTTAGATTCAAAGACTACATGTGTATGTATTGTCAATTAACTATGGTCGTTTCAATTCCTACGTTGATACGATATATCCTGGAGAGCTTAAAATTAAAGATTCCACTGAGTCTGACACATCTGTTTCATACCAGGATATTTTACTTGAAAAAGACATTAATGGTAATTTAACATCCAAGCTATATGATAAACGTGATACACTTTAACTTTTCTATCGTCAACTTCCCTTACTTATGCAGCAATATACCTTCATCACATGCATACGGAGTGTATATAACTTTACATATAAATCAGTTGATTCGATATCCTACCAAAGAATATTTAAGCAAGTAAGGGATAGTGACGAAACGAGGACCATCGCAGACGAATTGTGTCGCCCCGAACGAAGTCGGACGACATATTGCGATTTTTCCCCTTTTTTGTTCTATGGGCTGTTTCTCGGAGATGGCTACAGCTGGGACAATCTTCCTGAAACTTTCCTCAAAGAACGATTCCTGGTTGCAGTTGTTTTGTGTGGTCATTCAGTTTCAAATTGGATACCGTTGCCATGGAAATCTGCAAAAAACCTGCAAAAAGCGACGAATTTTGTCCATGAATGTTCTCTCTGGTCTCTTGAACATTCGTCATGAAACTTTATTGATTTAATGATTAGTATCTGTAATTGTGCTTGTTGCATTTAAAAATTGCAAATTGTCAATAGTTGCCATGGAAACAGGGGAAAAGTGAAAACTTGGATTTTAAAATCAAAGAACTGAAAGGACTGCTACGAGTTGATGATTTCCAAGCTCAGCTAATGGATATTGTTTTAATGATGAAAAAATGAAAGTCTTGTCCAGTTCGGGGTGACATACACTATTGCTTGCAATGGCAGACCTTCTAGTTTTATTACAGATTTTATTTTAAAAAAAATGAAAAATGAAAATACTTTGATCTGCATTTAGAAAAAAGACTAAAGGTATTCAATGTATAATGAAGGGATTTTGAACTATTTCAAATAATTTTAAACTGGTTAAAATGCATTACTAAATAACGATAAGATATAAATGAACCAAATTCACAAGACTGAAAACATGTAAGGAGACAGTCATCATTTTGCATGTTAAAAGTTTTTGAAGAGTTATCTGCCCTTTATTATAAATTTTATTTCATACTTTATTTTAGGGGGAGTTTATGCATATTTTCACCATGAGATTTGTTCAAATTACAAGTTCAAATTACTTTCTATAAAATCTGATAAAAACATGCGCTGCCCATAAACTTCAATGTAAAATTCAAGGTGCAATTAATTGGACAGTAATCAAAATTTTGTAAATTCATTTGGTGGAACATAATCATTTTATAACATCTTCAAAATGCCACCATGATTAAAAACATTGGACCATTCATTTATTAGGTACAAAATATGGTCGTTATACATTGAATACCTTAAGATAACTGATGTGTCAACACTATACTGCAAAAGCAATGAGATGAAATGTAAATTAATAAAACATCTCTAAATACCAAAGATACTTAAATAAAATGAATATGAAACAAAACCAGTAGTGAGTTTCACTCCTTTTCAGTTAAAGATAAGTACATTTTATTTTTATTTTTTTGTTTATTCTACAGCTCTAGTTGGACAAAAGGTTACTAATTCTACCCGCAAGCAGATGGTTAAACTTGACGATAGCTATGTTCTACTATCGTCAATAAATCCCAGCATTACATTTACCCGTGTCCAAACCATGGACGTCATCAGTATAGAAATCCCTCTTGCAATCAGAAGCCACCGATGTCTTCAATACAGCTACGTTGTATTTGGACCTGGGGCCGCGCTAGTCGTTGCATACATAACTAACTATCTACAGCCGTATTATCTTTGGGAATTTTTAAAGATACATAGCAAGAGCCCTGTGATCCAGTTTAGAAGGGCTTCCGCTATTCTTCCCCTTGGCTCCAACTTTAAGGTAAGGAAAGTGCTTCATGAACGGTCTTTCGTCTAAATGATCATTTTCATGTTACTCTGTATGAAGTAAAATTGAAATCTTCATATTTACAGAAGATACTGAATGCAGGAAAAATCGTGTCCCGACTTTATATTGCTATAACTGAACTATAAATTACCAACTTGAATGTTTATATATACGTGTTCAAGTGGGTTTATTTTTTGATCCGTTTTTATATATTAACAGGTGGTTTTTCGAGCCTTCTTTCAAACTTATCTTCGAGTTACTTCTTTTGTCCTCCTCGACAATATCTCTATAAAAGAAGGAATTTGTAGTAAGTATGATAATAAAATGAAGTATTAAATACCATGTAGGAGTAATTAGGTATACCTGCTATGTGCTCCGTGTCATGATCGGGTAAAGGAAAATGTCATGAACAATTCAGCGTAAAAAGAATCTATAACGAGCAAGATAAAACACATCTGTTCGGTACAAATACTTTATCTAAAATAAACTCAGTTATTTACATGGTTACAATATACAATACAAAGTTTCATTGATGTCATCACGATTATGACATCATCAAGATTGTGACGTCATAACCCAGGAATGTACACTTAACATTACATGATATAAGTTAATTGCTATAGAATTTATCAAATAATCGTCTACTAATGTTTTATAAAAATCGCCAATCAACACATTCCAGCTAATGACGGTCTCCTTTGCGAAATATTTTTTTTTTCAAATGTGATTGGTAATAACATAATACAGTGTATGATCAATGTATATGTCAGTAACTGAATGGGAACAACGCAGCACTATATGAGTAATACAATGTATGTATTTTTGTGATGTCACAGTTAACATTTTCCGTAAAAATTAGGTCCCGCCCCTTCTTTGAAGACTTAACAATGCTGCAAAGGTTTCATCTGACGTAGGTTTTCACAACGTATTCACCATCATAATCAGAAGTCAGATATCTAAGCAGAAAAATTAATATAACTAAACTGCTTTATGATATTGATATTTTTATGGTAGAAAGCACCAATAAGATTATCATTTGTATGATTTTAGAAACATGCAGTCCTGATGAATTCCGATGCAGCGCTGACCGGGATGAATGTATTCCACTAGATAAAGTTTGTGATCTTGCATCTGATTGTCTGAATGAAGAGGATGAGGCGCTTTGTGGTGAATATAATACACATTTATAGTTTACCGCTCATCTTCTGGCAGGAGTTTAGCTTTTGTTAGTTGTCCACTTCCATTAAAACATTATCTCAATCTGTTGCGAGCATTGGGATCTACCCTGAATATTTGAGTTCTCTAATAAAGATACAAATATATTGTAAATAGTTTTTAATTTCAGAAAAAAATATCAGTAGATCCCAGTGCAGTCAAGGCCAGGCATTGACTTTTCAAAATTTATCCAGACGACATAAGGAGGATCAGACACAATATGCCCCTGACACAAATATTTGCAATGACTGGGATCAGTGTCCCTTGAATTCCTCGAGCACTTGTTTCCTATATTGCCCTGTTAACTGTTCCTGTGTTGGTCTGTCTGTTAGTTGTTCGTCTGCAAATGCTCCGGTTTATGCTGTCTCTGTATCTTTTAATGGTTTATTGCATGAGGACCTAGTAATGAGTGATAGTCTGTTTCCAAATCTGAAACGAATTATCATTAGAAATTCTATAATTGAGTCATTTAACATTAGTAAAGAACATATAGAGATAATGTCCATCCAAAACAGTAAGATTACAAATGTTTTCCTTCATAGAAATTCCTTCCGATACATAAATATCAATGAATCTTCATTTGAAAACATGTACTTTTTTCATTATATTAAAAGGTATGTCTTTGATGCATTAGAATTCAATGTACAGAAAAGCCATTTTAAGAACACTTTTGATTTGTATGTTCCATATTATTTATGGAATAACTTTACATTGGAATCCCATGTTCTCACTGGTTTATTGAATGAAACAGACTCTAAAATACAAGAGGGAAAGGGTGTTCATCTAAAAATGGTGGAATCACAGGGATTTCATCACATGTTCGAGAAACTTAGTTATACTGTGGTTAATTTTAGTAATAGCTATTTGACTGATCAGCCAGATTTATACTATGAAACATATACGCTTGATTTAAGCCAGAATCGTTTAACCGCATGGCATGTTCTGTCTTTAATTAAAGTTTTACATCTTCAGCATAATTTGATAGTTTCGATCAATTACACCATTGACCTTGGCATATCCGAGGCCCGGCTTCATTATCTAGATTTATCGTATAATAAAATTAAAGGTATAGGCAAAAATGATTTAGCTGTCTTAAACAACCTCATGTACCTTAAACTTAAACACAATGTTATAAGTTATATTCACCCAAGAGCATTTTTAAAATTATCTGAGCTGATTTATTTAGATTTATCAAGTAATCAACTCAGTGACTTGGAACGAAGCCATTTTATTAATCTCTTAAATCTTCGCTATCTTTATCTCCAAGACAATAACCTGAGGGTAATGGAAGGAATGTTTGATGGTCTCATGAATATTCAGTATCTGCGGGTTGATTCTTACACCCTCTGTTGTGCACAACCAAAGGCTGTCAGTAAAATTCAGTGTTTAGCACCAGTCAACGAAATTTCTTCCTGCAATGATTTAATAGACATACCTCTTCTCAGTATAGCAATCTGGTATATGGCACTTTTAGCTGTCTTTGGAAATTTATTCGGTTCATGTCATAAACTGCTTTTGCTGAACAAGAATTCAAGTCCAAGTAAACCATTTGATATTTTTTCTATCAATCTTGGTTTCGCAGACTTTCTAATGGGTGTATATCTTTACATCATAGCAGGGGCAAATTTAAAATTCACCGATCGCTATGGTTTTGAAGATTTCTCGTGGAGAAATAGTCCTTTATGTACTTTTGCCGGTGTCCTAGCTACTCTATCTAGTGAAGCATCTGCTCTTTTTGTACTTTTTATCACCATTGACAGAATTTTGGCCCTTCGATTTCCATATGTATTGCTGAATAAGAAAATCAAGATTGCAAAGACCGTTTCCATGTTAGTGTGGATGGTTTCTTTCTTCTTGTCATTACTGCCCTTATTTGGGATTGAGTACTTTAAGGATTATTACTCCGGTTCTGGAGTGTGTATTTCCTTACCTCTGTCAGTTCTCCGGAAACCTGGATGGGAATATTCTATGGTACTCTTTGTGGGGGCAAACTTTGTCATCTTTGTAATTGTTCTCCTTGGGCAAATACTCATATTTATGGATGTTGTTCGATTTGAAAAGAAAGCATGCCAACAATGGTTTTCCCCAAAACGAACAGAAATACACATAGCAAAATCCTTGATGGCTGTTGCCCTTACAGATGTGCTGTGTTGGGTTACCATTGGAACTATAGGTAAGAGAATGTATACATGTATTTTACCATTGAAGTATTCATTATGTATTCCATTTAACTAACAATATAAGTTCATTTCCAAGGTATGGCATTTAGCAGTTTGTTTGTGTATTTAGAAATTTCTTAAACATAGCCTAATAGAATTGCTTGGACTTTGATAATAATATATTTTATATCTAAAACTGTATAAAAAAATTTGGTATACTAGTAGATTATCCGGAAAAAAATCTTATTTCAAGGCAATTCAAACTATCATCAAAATTTGATGCGATGGAAAGGCTGAAATAGACTCTTAATCCTCAATAACTATCTTATTTTATGTCGCCTTCGAGGCGGAGTGGTTAGAGCATCTGCTCTAGAGTCGCGAAGTAAGAGTTAATCCTTCGATCGCTGGTTCGAATTCCACTATGGGACGTGGAGGAGACCGGTCCTTCAGATAAGACCGTATAAACCGTAAAAATTAATTTTATTTTGCATTTTCTTTAGAACTTATTTGTCTTATTTGTAGGGTTTCTGACATTTAAGGGAATTGACGTCACCACCAAGATGTACGCCTGGGTCATTGTCATGGTTCTTCCTATCAACTCGGCAGTGAACCCCTTCATCTACCTGTTGTCTGTGATTATGAACCGTAGTGATGAACAGGTATATAGTTCTATAACTGATGAACAAGTACATTTGTCTAAACATAGTCATTATTCTTCCTATAAAATTGACATTGAACCCCCTAATCTACCCGTTGTCTGTGATAATGAGACTTGATAATGTGCAGGTACTGTATGTATATAAATCTAATGAACAGGTACGTTATTTTACGTTGTAAGTTGTTTTAGGTATAGTAATTGTCGTAGTTCTCCAAGTAAATCTTATCTACCTTTTGACTGTGTTTTGATCCGCAATGACAAAAGGTACATGTTTATGCTTTAAAATAATGTTCATATCTTTTAAACATGATTTGTCTTCCCTTCGACTTAATTTATATAAAAATAAATAAATAAATATTTAATAATATCTTTTCAGATATCTTCTTTGGCATCAAGCTTCACAAGTAACGCGAAAACAAAGGGCGGATCAAACAAGTATCAGGTACATAATTTCTTTTTTTTTCTTTTCAAATGCTGCAATTCTTTTCACTTAATGTCGTTTAAGGAATATACTCAGATAACAAAAATTCCACTGATAAGAACATAAAATCACCTACTGCACATTGTATATATCTATGATTCTTGTGTTAAATTTCAGTTTCAAATAACTAGGTCAATGACCTACTTTTTATGCTAGTGGTATTTTCACCCTATAGCCAGTTTTTTCCTTTAAGCACAAAATATTACAAGCAACAAAACTCTTTAACTAATGAAATATTATAGGAACGGAACATCATTGCTTCATAGAAATAAGTGATAAGAGTTTGGGCGATTATCTTATTTATAATTACAGTCCGAATTTCCTCTGTTATATTTCTTTCTTTTCAATTTTTATCAAATATTATAAAAATCTGAAGGTTAAGAGCTCTAAATTATTTATAGTCTCATGTTATTTTTGTTGTCCTTTTTCTAATGGTATTAATATTATATAAGGTCAATGATCACATTATTGAGATATGTTGTCTGAACTGAGTTTTGTTCATATTTTTGAATTCATTAATTTCAATGGCATTCAATTATTTAAAATAATTCATTAGCTTTAATACACATAATATTTGCAAAATGATATTGTAAATGCTGTTAACTTTTACATTGCAATTGATATTGCAAGAAATAACTTATTTTGACAGAATTTAAAATATAAAAATTTAGTTCAAATATCCTCTGCATCATCTTATAGTGACATTTCTTCGTTCCTGTATATTTTCTTTAAAAAATAAAACATTAATTTTTAAAATTGACTTTGAATTTAAACTTGGTTATTTCATCCATTTAGAACAACTTTTGATTTAACATATTATAATTTATAAAATTTCATGCATGACTTTTGAAACCTGAGTAAACGTAAACGTCATTCTTTAACACTGATATGTTTCGTTCTTTCTTAGGTATCACAATCGGGTGGAAAAGGAACCAATTTTGTCAAGCCATGGGCCCAAAATGATGAAAAACAAAGGAAATCAAACATACAAGTCATTTCATTGCAACATCTAAAATCTGAATAGTTTTTTCTATGCTTTAAAATGCTTTTGTTTAGTAAGATGGTGTGATCCGATTTTTGATTACTAGTATATTTTTATGCAGAGAACAATTATGTTCTTCCTAGCCAAAGATATATTGCTACATTGAAAAAAAAAATCGTTAATAGAAAATATTCAGAGTTTGTAATTCATGTTATGGTGTATATGCCACAATATTTGTGAGTTATAACTACAATCCCACTAGATAGATCTTGATTCGCTTTTGTTTGTGAACGTGTCTTCGTGTATTCTCTGTATAATAAATTCATAACAATCAAACCTACCCTTGTTTTATTTTCTTAGGACCATATTATTTGTTCCAAAAAGCGACATTGTAAATAATCAATCTATAATGTATGTATTATGGCACTACTTTTATGTCTGAACACACTTTAAAGGTACTTGGACACAGATTTAAAGTTAATATTTTCTGTATCATATCACGAATAATATATACAAAATTAAATATCTTAATAGCATTTAACACAAAAAATTAATAAAAAATCTTCATTTAAAAATTATTAAAACTTCAATTTTTTTGATGATTGACACAACTTTGCATTTTACAAATTTTAACAAATATTCTTAATCCTTAGGAAAAGGTGCAATCTTGTTGTGTATTAATAAGAAATATTAAAACTTTGATCCAGAAAATAATCTTATTCAGAGTAGAAATGTTAGAAAGCAAAACACCTTAACAAGTATCGTCATTCCGAGCTAAGTGTTGTGAACAAAGTTTAGCAAATCGAACACACTCGTTTTATGTACACAGTTTTTGTAAACAGGGCACGAGCTCTGTTATTGTTGATGTTTACGATTCACTGGGTGCGTTCAATCGTCAAATATGATATGGAGATAACGAAAAGTATTCAATCTCGAAGTCCATAAAACAATACAATATAAGAGCAGAACAAACCCACCAACATCAGAGGTGGGATCAGGTGCCATGGAGGAGTGAGCATCCCCTGCCGACCTGTCAAATTTAAATTTTTTGAAAGTGCAAGGATGTGTCAATCAAACCCGCCAATAAAAATTTGAAATTTTAATATCTTTTATATGAAATAAATCTTTTAATCAATTTTTGTGTGAAATGCTATTAAAATATATAAGTCGTAATATTAAAGCGAAAAACATTAACTTTAAATCTGTGCCTAAGTACCCTCTTGTCTTATCTTGTAAAGCTTATGATTGAACAATCGTGTTTAAGGTGTAATTTCTCTCTTATAGTAGGAGAGATAAATTTTTGAAGGCAACTTTCCATGATTATCAGGGCAACCAGTCAAATGCATGAACACTAAATATTTTTTTTGATCGATTGATCAAGAAGTTCTGTTACAGACAACTATGGGTATTGTTTTTTACGAAGCTACGGAGAAATCGCACATAGAAATTCGACCGCTTTATGTTAATTGTGCGAGGAATATGTTCACTAAAATGCCCCAATGCCTATGAAAATGCGCTTTTGCTTTATTTGGATAAAAATTGTATAAGAATAAAAAAAAGTCCACCATTTGGTAAGTAAAATACAATGTACGTCACCGATATGGGAGATAGTATAACAAACGGGGGATAAAGTATTATTTGGTGAGGTGTGCCCAACCTGATAAAGGGGATGTCACAGCAAGCATTTTTCAGGTGTCTCTGGGCTAAAAGGTGTTGAAAAGGGGAGTGATTTAATGAATTTAAAGATACGAGGGACGTTCAATAAATAATTTCATTAGCTCGATGACATACATTATAGAAATCATATTACATTAAGCTTGGCTTTCTCTCATTAATTTTTCTTGAATGAATTGATAACATTTTATATGACCACTTTTCATCGCATTATTTAATTGTGGAAGCTGGGAAACCAGAGCTATTCGAGACACTGCATTGAAAATGAATGTTCAAGAATCATTAAACTAGAGTAAAATTAAATGCTTCATTTCAGCAGCTGTAAAACTTGTTAATATCCCAAAAATATATAAACTGAAATATGTGAAATTTTCAGCAACCAATGTCTGTTTTATAGAGACATTTTAAGAAACAAAAATTATATAATAAGCATCAAAACGGGTACCTTCCTTGGCAACAAGGACTAACAACAACCAATGTATATTTGCAAAAATTCAACAATCTTTAACTGATTATGTTTTATTGACTCTAAGACACATAGCAAAATTGATAGAAATCATTCGGGGGGTAGTTCTCACATTTTTAAAGAAACATTTGATAGTTAAAAAGTTAAATACTCAAAGGCCACCCTTTATTTTGAAAAATGAGTGAAAACAACAAAGTGTAGGAATATCTAAACAATTACTTAAAAAAAATCAAAAAATGTACTCATCCACGTTTGTCTGAAATTCAAACAGATAATGAAACTTGAATCCATTTTGCTTTAAATCCTCAAAACAAATTGAAAATGAAATGCACTTGACAAAACTGGAAAGGCCTAAAAAGAGCAAATAATTGCAAGAGCACAACAAGTTTGATATGCTGTATTTTTTTTATATTAGCGGTCTTATTGTTCAAATTTATATTCGGGGAGAAAGTGCAATTTCTGGAGGAGTCTAGAAAACAATTTTTTGCAAAAAAATTGAAAGGTTTATGAGAAGAAGGAAACAGAATGAGCTATTCACTACATTAAATTTCTTTATGACAGCATCCAAACCCACAGGCCATGAAGAGTAAAGGATAAACAGAAAGTTAATGTTTTGTCACAACTAAACAACAATTTGCCAGATCTTTTAACCTTTGACTTGTTTCCTTTCCCAAACTTAGATAACATCAGTCAATAAGAAAAAAAGAAGTACAGTAAAGCATAGGATCTGCCATATTCCAGTATGTGAAGATTCATACTCAAAAATGTGTTCTAAAAACAATTAGAAATTGAATAAAAATGTTACAGACATGTGTTTTAATTAAAAGAGAATATTTTAGTTAAATCATTCAGACTAAATCATAGAAAAGCATTTGCTTGTTTCTTTCCGAGCCCCAATGACATTATTTATTGAACGCCCCTATTATTCACTAAAATATAATTTTTGCACGTTTTGGAGGATCTTTATAATATCATAATAAGAATGTTCTCGATGTGTTCTCGATGTGTATTGTATTTCCCGTATATACAGGAAAATTATAGTACCTTATATAAGGTAGTTAAAAAGTATTATTTTAAAACAGAATGCATAAAGATACATTTTAGTTTGGAGTTAAGGCACTCCGACCCTCAGCCAGATGTTGATGTGCTTCAAAGTTTGCAAAGCTCCATAAATTACTACTAATTTCATGTCATGTTAATAAACATTGGTATCAAAAAATGCTTTTTCGGGATAAAAATTTCTACTTTTAATTATACCTTTCTGAGAAGTTCAAAGAACCTTGAAGCAAATTGAGAGGTATATAGTGAAAATTGTTGCATGAAAAGATTTAATTTTCAAACTTCATTTAAAAACTTTTTTGAATTAAATAATAAATTAAGAGTTGTCCTTCCTGGCCGAGGGTCGCAGTCCCTTAAGATCTAAGGGAATTGAATTTATTTAGTTAAAGAACAACATTCACTTTTGTCTTATTTGGCCCTGTGAATTTTTGAAAAAACTGATCATGAAATACATAGATTTAGTTAACAATGAAGGCAGAACCTTTGTCGGAAAAGTCTTTGTCACGAGATTTTCAAATTTTTCAAAATGATAAATTAGTACTTGTTTATCAATCAGTTATAAGTTCATGATATGTTTCCTTGTTTTTAAATCTAGTACAACC